AAGTTTTTTTTTTTCAATTATTTTTAAGTGTTAGTTGATTGTTGAAAACCGCAAATGACTGAAGAAAAAGCTTTTGTTTTCAATTACTGACATTTTATGTTGAACAGCAAGCCAAAAAGAAAGAAAGAAACGAAGGAGAAGAAGAAGAAGAAGGAAAAATTCGAAGATTAAGTGAAAAACTGCTGATTTAAATTGCTATTCTTTCCTCTTCTTTTTTTGTTTTTCAGCAATACATTGATAAATAAGTGGCGATATATATTTTTTGAAAATAACTGGTTCAAAACTGTGTGAAAAAATTGAAAACGAAAATTTTTTGTTAAATTTTAAGACATTTTTCTCGTATACCGTCGTCTTCTGCTTCGTCGGCTTCGCTGTCGCCTTCGTCGTCGTCGTCTTCTTCTTCTTCTTTTTGTTCATCTGCTTTATACAAATTAATGAAGATCACTTTGTCACGGAAGTGATGTTTACTTATGTAACTGAGTTATAGAGCCCTGGTTCTTTTGGGAAATTTTTTTCGCTGTTTTTTTCCTTGTCTCCACTTTTTGCTGCTGTTTTCTTTTTCTCTTGATTTGATTTTAATTGATTTTTGAAGTGCAATTTTGGTGTTGGTTTTTCAGTGGAACTGAAAGCTGCTAGTCTTTTTTTTTTGAAACCTAATAATAATGCTATTCAGTTGGATTGCCAAGTGAACAGATGGAAGAATTTTGGGTCAAGAAAAGCGGAAGGGAGAGTTTGACGGAGAAGGGAATAAGGAGGGCCGAGGGAGGGGGGTTGGGGGGATGGGGAGGGAGAGGGAAGGAAATAGGGTTATAAGGAATTAAGAAAAAAATTAGAAGAGGAGGGAAAAGAAAAGCAATAGGAAAGATAGGTATAAGTTTAAAATGTTCACCAATGTAATTGTGTCAAAACAACAGACGTCATTATATCAATCAATTTTCTGCCAAAGCTGTTAGTAAAAATTTTTGCACTAATCATACTGCAAAAATACCATATAAATAAATGTTATATGTTAAAATCAAAAAAAAAAAAAAAAAAAAAAAAAAAAAAA